AATCCGCTTTAATATGTAGCTCTGGTTGTGGGTCTTTTTTGGCTTCAAGTTCAAAACGCGCTGGTAGCGACTCTTTAGGTACAATTTCGCCATTCCAATAAAGTGTGCCGTCTTCTTTGACGGCTAGATCTACATACTCTGGCTTGGTAATATTGGGCATGTTAGATTCTTTAGGTAAATCAATTTTAACCGAGTGTGTCAGCAACGGGGCTGTGATAATAAAAATCACCAAGAGTACCAACATCACGTCCACCAGTGGAACGACGTTGATTTCCGCCTTGGCCTGCGGTTGATTTGAATTAAAGCTGCCAAAACTCATGATGCACTACCTGTTTTATTGTCGCTATTTCCTGCAGTGAGATCTACAAATAAATCATGCGCAAACGCATCTAGTTTGGCCAGCCACATGCGGTTACGGCGGTTAAAGGCGTTATAGGCAAATACAGCAGGAATCGCCACCGCTAAACCAATCGCGGTCATAATCAAGGCTTCACCTACTGGGCCTGCGACTTTATCTAGTGTACCTTGGCCGCTTAAGCCAATGTTGACTAAGGCGTGGTAAATGGCCCAAACTGTGCCAAATAAGCCAATATAAGGCGATGCTGAACCCGCTGAAGCTAAGATGGTTAAGCCATTTTCACTGCGGGCAGATTCTTGATCGATGCCATTACGAATAGCGCGGGTCATAAATTCTGACATACCACCAGCCACAGCTAATTTTTGGCTACCAAAGCTGCCTGCGCTACGTAGCGCATTCATGCCTTCTTTAGCTAGATTGGCAAAAGCGTTGTCTGATTTGCTGTGGCTCACCAAATGGTTGAGTTGCTCTAATGAGTCCACATCTCTGAATTTAGCTAAAAAAGCTTTGGCATGCTTGGCCTCAAGCCAGTTAGCAAAGGTTTTGGTAAAAATCAAGTACCAACTGGCGATTGAAAGCACCAGCAAGAAAAATAACACCACTTTGCCGACGGTGTCCACATTCGCAATAAAGTTTGCAAAGCCTAATTGTTGTGCTGCTGTCGCGGTTGCGGT